AGAAGGAGAAAAAGAGAAGGAGACGGCATGCAGGAATCGACCCTTAGAAAGCACCTCTTGCTGCGGCACACTACCACTGAACTACCTGGAGCATCTCCACAAGAGTGGTTTTATCTAAATCTAATATTCTCCTAACTATAAAGATGCACCTAGCAGAGATTTGTGGCTGACTTCCAACCTGTGTTTTTTTGGAAAGTTATGAGCTGCCAATACTGATATCAGCTGACACTGTGTTTTGCTCAGACTGTTTCTTATTGCTTTTTCTGCTGTCAGCGGTTTTAATTTTTTCATATTAGGAGCAGAGACAACGTTGTAGCTTGCGAGTGAGAGAGCAGTCACTGAGTTTTTACTCATTTAAAACAAAGACAAAAAAAGGTTTGGAGCTGACATTTTTAGCATATTTTGAAAGCAGTTAGCACAGTTAGCATTAGGCTACAAGCGGTAAAGCCTCGGTTTTTCCATCCATCTTTCTTGGGAAATGTAGCTCTTTACAGAAATTTCCAAAAGACTGAAAACATTTTTAAGTCTATCTTTCTCCATGACAGACACAAAACACTAAAGGAGCGAATATGCTGCAATATATTCAGGCTTCATGTTATCAGATGAAGTTAACTCAGGGTAAGTTTGATCCATCCTAAATAATAATTATGTCAAAATGCTCAATCTACAATGTTCCAGCTAATTCTTTCAAACCACATATTCAAACTTTTGGTTTCAACTGAAGACGAAAACTAGCACATTTTTGACTCAGACTGTTCTTACAGGAATATTAGAAATGTAGTGCAGACTTAAATATTACAAACCAAAAGCAAAATGTCAGGTCTTCGTGTATTTTTTGTTTGTTGTTTTGGACAAACTGTTCCAGCTTTGGATAAGGCGTGTTTCTAAAAAAAAAAGACAGGAAAAAGATTAGAACTATGAGTTTTGCTACTCTGGTCTGGTGAGACTAAAAATCATTTGATTCCAGTAAAAAGCCAATAAAGAAACTTAGCATAGCAGTACTTCTTAAAACTAGCTCAAAGGTAACAAAAATATTCATGCTTTATTGTTTTATTGGATAAAAAGGTAACCAAGAATTTATAAAATAATTAATTCGTTACATTTTAATTATAATGTCAAGGTTAGAAGACGACGGCACTAGATGCCGTTCATCTTTTCTCCATTAAAAAGACAGAATGGATGTTTTGTGAAGTGATACTTGCTCAGTTCTGACTAGCTGAACACCTAAGTGGAAACTTATAGCTGGTTCTCCAAACTGAGTCCGTTTCCTGGAGGATGGACCCCGACTGAGGCCAACTCCACAGAAACCACTTCAGAACTATCCAAGCCATCCCTTTTGGGAAGCTGATGTTTTTTTAGGGAGAACTTAAGAATGATGTATTCTCTAATCTTTTACTTATTTAGTTCTGATATACAATATTTCCTGCTGTCTTTGTCTTTCGAGGTGGGTGTTATACTCAAAGTGGTACAAGATAAAAAAGCTCCTTCTGGATGGTGACTAAATCTAAAGATGGTGATTCTCCTCTGTCCAAAAGCTTACTTGTTCCAGCAACAAACAGACTGCAAAGTGGGCACGTATGGGCAGAACAATTGAACTCTGATTGTTGTACAGATATATATAAAAAGTGAAGAGAAGCAGTAATTGTTAAAATCAAGGGACATGGTGTCTGGCTGTACTTGACTTGCGTCTCTCTTCCAGGGTCTGACTGAATGCCCTCCTTCCTGCCAGAGGCGACATCCTCATCTTAGTAACTTTCCACCTTTGGAAGACAAATACGTCCGTCTAACAGGCTCTCTGACATTGACGCACGGTGATTCACGACGCTGTGCTGTCTGAGCACGGCTGCTGGCAAAAGCCACGATTTCCCCCCAGCCTCTCCCGTCCGTGTGTTGGCCATTTGTTTCCTCCCCTGCTACGCTGTTTACATGTAATTTGGAGATCCGTCAAGGTGGTGAGCTCCCCACCCCGTCGTCTGATTAGGTCGCCTTTTGCCAATTCGGCAAAGATGAATGCGGACGGAAGCAGGCCTTGGCTGTGAAGGCTGCCAAAGTCTGGCTGCTTTTCATCCACCGGGATAATTAAGAAGACGCCGGGTGACGGGAGGGGGGATGGGAACAAAAAAAAAAAAAAAGCGGGGCTGCCGGGATGCAACAAGTTCAGAGCATTTTCATATCCGCCTGTCTGAATCCCCACCTGTGTTGTTTGTTGTCGTTTTGTTCAGCGGTCTGTGATGTCTGTGTGATCCCATCCGGCCTTGTTTTTGTCACGCGATTTGGTCCCACGCGCCAGCAGGATCACCACCTGGGGGCAGGAAGAAGAGCAATTAGCCACACCTGCTTGTGAGGCAGCCATACTTCGCAGGAGCTGCGTTTCCATTAACTATATACAATTACGCAAATTGAAATGAACATAAAGGAAATGTATCAAAAAATACTTACATTTTTCCATAAAAGTTGTTACGCGGGGATGAGCCGTATCGAGTCGATGTATGTCACAGAGCCGCAATGGAGGCACTTTTTCACCCGCATTACAGGAGTCACGTGATCAACAGCCGGATGTTAGCGCTGGCGAAGAAGACAACAGGAAGTAGTCTTCTGCGTTATGTTCTTTCTCATAAGTTAGCTCCTCAACAGAACCTCAGTGGAACGTGACTTACTTTATTAGACATTTTGCTGAAGAACATAGGGAGAACAATGAACTCATACACCACACTTGGTATTCTTCCACAAAGAACACAAAATAGTACCACTGAATAATGTATTGCTTTTACCAAATACATAACATTCTGGTTTGTAGTTACTTCTTTTTTTCAGACAGTATTTAGCTGACTCCAACAGAGCTTGTGTCGCGCGCAGATAATAAAAACCGGTGTGTCATTCAAACGTGTTGAATCCAGTAAACTCTTCTGTAAAATTCCAGACTACCATTTGTCCAAAACGCTGCATAAGTAGTTGCTCCCTTAAAAGCGAGGAGCTTCTAACTCCTCCAAATCCTGAATAAGACTCTGGCGTCTCCTCTGATGGTTAATAGATAATGAGCGATAGCGCCATTGCTGAATTATGAATATAATCTCATGTAACTGTTTACATCTGTCGCTGCCACGGTTTTTAATGACTTAGCGCTTGAACAAGCTTATTCACCCCTGATTTCAATCTCATTTCTTACTTAATGGGAACACCGCAATTGCGAAATTGTGGGGGGGGGGTTCCCCTTAAATTGGCAGAAAATAGACAAAGATTTGCTCACACTTGTAATTGAAACACGGAAACTCTGCAACACCATGCAAAGCAGACCTGTCAGGGCCTGGCGCCACTCAGCACAGAGAGCCTGAGGTCACGGCGTGAAAATACGCAGCTCAGAGCAAGAGAGGAGGGCGGATTGGGAATTTGCATTCTGATCATGTTTCATACTGAGCGCTACTAATTTGTTCATCTCCTTAATGAACATTATTGGCAGCATCGCATTAAACCAGCGCATAACTTTCCTAATGGCCAACGTCACACCCTGTGCTCCTATCATGCTGTACGCTCTCCTGTAATCGATGCTGAGCAATTCCACCAAAACCTTCCAACCTTTAAGTTTGTTGTCGGATTTTGTGATTCAGATCCTTCACGTTCAATACAAAATTCAAGCCGTCTGCGGCTCTTGTGATAATCTCAATCATTTAACAAGAAATCTAAAAAAAAAATAAAATAAAAAAAGACAACAACAACTTGTATTCTAAGCACAAACAGCAGCAGCAGCTGTCACGCTGCAATTTACATCCCCGAATTTGCAGCCGTCAAATCCTCACTGCTGTCATTGTCTGCCGTCTGTCAGTCAGCGAGGAACAACAACCGTGAGTGTGTTTTTGTGGGTCGGTCAAAAAAAAGAAGAAAAAAAAGAGGTAGAATTAGGGGAAAACAACTTGTGGGGCCTGTCAGACTTAGTTATTTCTGTTATGCTGCTTTAAAAAAAAAACCATAAAGCGAGACAGTCATTATTTTAGACTAGTGCACTTCTGCCAAACCAAATTTACAGCATTCAGAACCCTATCAGCGAGAGGTGAGCCTGCGCGGAGGAAGTTGAGATATGCACAGCTTCCCAATAACAAATCATGGTGGACGACGAACAGCAAAAAAAAAAAAAAAAACATGAACAGCAACATAGTTACTGAGCTACTCAAGAGTGAACAATATTTAATCTCTGTCATCAGCCGCTTCACACACACGCACACACACACTTCAGTGCATATTGAGCAGTATCAGTCAGATAAGCACGGCCCTCGCAGGTAGTCCAATGTCTGAAATAGTTGTGGTTTTAAAACCAGGAAGAAAAAAAATGCCTGTCATGCAGTTCCCACAGTGTAAGTCTTTGAGACATACTTCTTGAGTTTTCTCTGGCTTAGAACGCATCACTAGCACTTTACATCTATTTATTGCTGCCAGTGAGCTATATTTCTTCACTATTTGTTTTATTTATTTACTTAGCTCTCATAGAGCTCATGCCGGATCCTAAGGTTGAGGCACCCTGTGTGGAGAGTCATATCTCCCATATTAAAAACTTCTACAAACTGGCATGTCTGTCAAGCAGCTGAACGCAGGCTTTACTGCAGCAGATAGCCTGACCAATATAGATAAATATCAGCTTGATATTTTTTTTCTGTTTGTTATTTTATAAAAAAAAAAAAAGCTGAATGACAAAACCATATAACATGCAATAAAGTCTTGGAAACTACTTCTAAAATTAGCAGGTATTTAAATTCCTGACTTAATAATTAAAAAAAAGAGTTTTATGTCGCTTTTAAGTTTTTAATAAAAAAAGAAGAAAGTGCTGCTATTTGTGATTATTTCTCGTAATCTCCCCTTTTGAATTACAACATGGAGGCGCTGAGTTCCAGTAAACGGAACTTTAAGCCCATAAAAGCAGGTTGAAGGAAGTCAGTCTTGTTCTGCAGCTCTGGGAGGGGCCACGCACATGAACTGTGATCAGTGAGGGTGTGGCCATAGCTTACAGCTGTAGTTTCACCTGAGAGCAAAACAAGCAAGCCTTCCTCCCTCTCACCCCCAGCAGGGACGCAGTAACAGGCCTCGGAGGACTCACATTTAAATTGGACTCTTTCCTTCCCACGTCTCTTTAAGGTACATCAGAGCTTCCAGTGTTTTTCTTTCTTCTTTCTTCTCATTGATCAACAGATTTTGATATTCTTGCGGTACATCCAGACAGGACCCTGTTTGTTAGGCTTCTGGTAAATCATGATTTATTCTAGACCTTACTTTGTGAATTGAGAAGTTAAAGAAAACGGCATCTTCTTTTTTTGTTTTGTTTTTTCTTTTATATGTTTCTTGTTCAGTTCACGTTGAAGGACAAAGCGTTCAGAGATAACAAGCTGTGACTGAAGCGACTTTCAGAATATTTATTTATCTTCTTCTTCCTCTGCTCATAAACGTCATGTTTGCTCTCAGGGTTGTGATGGATCCCGTGTGCATGTGGCCGAAGGTGGCTGTGCTGCTGCTGCTGCTTCTCACAGCAATGCGGCCGAGAACAGGTGAGCCTCATTTCCACATCTACACAGACTGCTTTGTGTTTTTCAGATGAGCCCACCCCCACCTGCTGCTGCTGCTGCTGATGATGATATTTGTTTCAGTTCTGATCTGATTGGTGGATTGCATTCCAGACACTCAGAAACGAAACAAAACAAAAAAAAAACCCACATACATAAATGCAGGTGTCTGATGAGCACCTTGAGTAACATTCATCCCTCTCTCTTTTTTTCTTCTTCCTGTTGCTAAGGATCAGAGCGTTGTGTGTATAACCCTGAGAGACAGGGTTTTTTTCTTTCTTCCATCCCTGAGAGAAAAAAATATTAGTTCTTGGGCTCCTTCCAAGCTTTCTATGTCAATTTACAAACCTCACAATGACAGAAGTAAAATGCAGTGAGTGAGCCACATGCAAGCAGGTATGCGGGTTGAAACAAAGACTAAAACGAAAGCATCCACACCTCAACATTTTCAAGCTGCTTGATTGTGCTGGAGAAAAAGGCTGGATTGATTAAGTTGTGATGCTCCCTGTGTGGAACAGTGAAGAAGCGTGTTATCCACGTCAGCGGGGGGAGAGAGTGAGAAGGATTTAAATATGTTCAGCTCTTTGTATCAAGCTTAGTGACTGGGCTCACTGGCAAGCCTCCTAAAATAGAGAGGTGGGGGAAGGGGGGCGGGGGGGCGAAACCACATTGTTGTGCCCAGGGGGGCTGTTTCACTGTGTAAACATCTGATTGACTAGTTTGGGCTGCTTTCCTGCCTCCTCTCATCACGTCTGACATTTCCATACCTTCATAAATACCTGCGACACACTTTTTTTTTTGTCTGTTTTGCTGCAATCTGAAGTTGTTTTTTTTTTTTGTTGTTGTTGTTGTTGCTTTTTTTAAATGCAGGGTTAAAGAGGGAGCGTCAACACAGGAGCGAATGATTTAAACTCAATTTTATGCACTTAGTGAAGGTTAAAGATCTAATTGTGAGAGATGTATTTTCTTACACTCCGATGAAAAAGCTGGGTGTGTCGCAATTTATTTCTACACCATCACAACTTGTAGGTATTTTTTTTTTTTTTACGTGGCGAGGTAATTAAAAGTCGTTGCTGTAAACAGTGAGTCACCGGGGCGTTTCTGATCAGACGGTGAAACTGCAACCTGTCAAGTGTGTTTTCAATTTTAGTTCTGTTTTTTTTTTTTTCCCACTGAGTTTATCATCATAGTTTACCAATGTGTGTATTTCTTCCGGTTAATGAGCCTCCAGAATTATATTAGGATGTAGCTCATTTCAGAGAATATATTTAACTTCAGCTATTTTTTTTTTTTTTTTTTTTTTTTTTTTTTGTATTCCAGCTCTAAATCCTCAATCTTCCGTTGACTTAAGAGGCCAATTAGTCTCACATCGGTACTCCTTTCCCACCCGGAGCATGCTCTGGAGCGCTGGCCCAGAGCTTGAATATCATTAAGCTGAAAAACTTGTTAATGCACTTCTGAGTGAAATTAGTTTTATTCTCTTTTTTTTTTTTTTTTTTTTTTATCTTTTTACCCCTCTTATGTGTATGTGGTTTTGATGAAATTAAAATTTTGGAGGGAGGGGGAGGAAAAAAAGTAGATTTGAGGAGTTAATAAAGAGATATTTTGGACCTCCTTTCTGTCACAGAGGCGATGGTGATAACATCGTCAGGGTCACAGACTGTTCAGAAAGCGGAAGGGGAATCTGTCGACCTGGGCTGCACCTACACACCGGCTGCAGAGGACAAAGGGGAGCTGGACATAGAGTGGTCCAACGTCAGCCCGGACATGACGCAAAAGGACAAGCTGGTGAGCTTCAGATCGGGGGGCTGGGCCTCAGTTTGGATGTTAAAGGGTTTATCTGAGAACTTTAAAAACAACCTGCTAACAGTAAAACTTTGCATCTCAGCTCTTGTCTTACGCAGCGGGCCAGACGCACAACTACTACCCGGAGTTTAAAGACAGGTTGAAATTTTCGACGGAACCGAACCAGGGAGACGCGTCCATCACCATCTCGGCTCTGAAGGCCTCTGACACGGGCACTTATCAGTGTAAAGTGAAAAAGGCTCCGGGTGTGGACATGAGAAAAGTTACTCTGGTTGTGCTGGGTAAGGAGGAACTTCTGCTTTTTTTTTTTTTTTTTTTTTTTACCGGTTTTACCTGTTTAGTATCTCTCCATTTGTCGCCGTCATTCACCTGGAATGTCCAAGCTCTTACTTCACAAAGGCTTTTTTTAGCTGTAGGTGTGGGCCTCACACTTCTCAAAGCATCCCTATTGGACTCAGGGAATTACAGTCCTGCGACAGACTGGCGACCAGTCCAGGGTGTACCCCACTTCTTTCCCAGAACGTTGGGTGGAGATAGGCACCAACACCCTTCCCGACCCCACTAAGGGACAAGGGTGTAAAGAAAATGAATAAATGAATGGATGGGTGGAATTACAGTCAACATGTTCTTGCATCACAACTACAAACTTCAATATGTCTAGGGATTCTGTCCAATTAAACAAACACAAAATTGTGAAGGTAGCTTCAAGTTGGAGTTTTTCCCAACATTTGCCGTACAAATTGGAAGATTGTAATGCATTCAGCCACCTTAACCCTGACAACCCTAAAGGAAAATCCAGAGGAACCAGTTGCTCTCAAATCAAGCAATTGAAGACCTGAGAGGTTCTTTTAAACAACATTGGTAAACGTACAACTTTATGAAGACAAAGGGACTCATCGGACGGGTCTAGAAGAAAGTCTTAGAGATGTTTAAAGCAGAGTTGGGCTATAAAGCATCCCAACAACTGCAAACCTGGACTGGGCAAGAGTCACAGATCAAGTTAAAAAGTATTGCAAAAATCCTTTGTGGGGCAGAAAACCTCTGGACATTACCGTGGTTACCATCCCAAATGTGAAACACGGTTCGGCTATACTTATTATTCAATGACTGGAACACTGGTTAATACAGAATATGGATTGAGCTAAATAGAGACTATCTCCTCTGCGAGGACTGCGACCTGAAACAGCCTGAGCTACAAGGAAATGATTTAGATCAAAGTCTGTTCAGTCAGACATAAACCCTGTTAAAGATTTGTAGTGAGAGTTGAAAGTAAATGTTCACAGTTGCACTCAGTCCAGTCCGACAGGCTTTGAGTTATTTTACAAAGAAGAATTGACAAAATGTTCAGTCTTGTTTGAGACTCAGAAATACTTTATTCATCCTGAAAGGAAATTAAATGTAATTCATATCGTTCAAGCGTCTTCACAGAGTTGTTGTGCGCAGAATGGATCTCTAGGAGCTGTCGGTATCCTTAAAAAAATAGTTTAAGAAAACCCGATGAAGCTCAGTTTCTGGCAGCAGAGATGATATTCCTCCATAGCGCTGCTAATCCACCTCATTTGCTTTTGCCACTCCCTTTAAATCTCTGTTCTGTTCAACTCCTGCGGTGTATTTTCCCGTAGTTCAGGTATTACTTGAGCTTTTGAGATGCTAATCAGCTGCTCCCAGTTGTAAAAATAACACCTTGTTGCAAAAAACAGAAGAGCAAAAATCATTCCAGTGGCACAGCATCCAAAACAACCTAAACATTAATAAACAAAACTCTACAGAAAGGGTAAATGTGGCACTCCCTGCGTGCTTCTAGCATGGTAGTCTACGCAACGGTATGGCGGAGACGTACTCCAAAAGATCTGGAGCTTTAAATCCTGCAACAGGTTATTCAGGAAAGTATAGACTCAGAGCAGCAACACACTTGAACAATACTTTCTGTTGGCCGATCACATGAAACCCCAATGAAGTGCTTGCCGGTCATTGGCTCTGACCTGTGGAAATGTGTCAAAGAAGCGTGCTCTGAATTTCTTTCGTCTCATCATTAGTGCCCCCCTCCGTGCCGAAGTGTTGGGTTGAAGGCGGTGAGGAAAAAGGAGCCACGGTGACCCTCCGCTGTAAATCCTCCAAGGGATCCATTCCTCTCACTTACGTGTGGACACGAGAGACCGGTGGTGCGATGCCGGCCACTGCGACGCAAGGTATGCAGACCTACCTTTAACGGCAGACGTTGCTTCTTTGGTTTAGGTGTGTCCTGAAACATCTTGCCTTTCATTTAGACGTAGGTGGAGAGCTTGTGATAAAGAACCACACGGACAGCAACACCGGGACGTATGTGTGCGAGGCAAAAAATTCAGTCGGACAAGCACAGTGCAAATACAACCTGCGTGCATACAACCGTACGTCAATGAAATCGTTGTGCAATTTTTACTCGGATCATGTGAATATCCCAAAGCTACTTTTTAATTTTGATGCTGTTTTTTGCCAGAGTACTCATGTGAAATAATTTTTTTAAAAATCCGATGTAGCCCTCTTGTGAAAGAGGCTTCACAGACGTTTGACGTCTCTGCTCTGCGTCCTCTCTTCCAGCTACCGATAATGTGGGTAAAATAGTTGGTGGGGTGATAGGTGGTCTGCTGCTGTTGATCCTCCTCCTGATTCTCATCTGGCTCCTGATCGTCTGCCGTCAGAAGAAGCGCTACCAGAAGGAGGCTGCAAATGAAATTAGGTATTACATCACAGCTGGCGAGAGTTTTAGGCCCAGATCGGAGCAGGATCTAATGGAGATACGCCTTTTTGTTCCCTTGTTCTCACAGGGAGGATGTCCCTGCTCCGGAGAGCAGACCCGCCAGCAGGCAGTCAAGCAGGCACTCCAGTTTCCAATCGATGGCGGGATACCGTACTCACCAGGGGGTGCAGTACAGTTCTGTAAGGGGTCATATGCCCAGTATCCACGAATCGGGTCCCATCTACAACGGCAGCAGCAACTCGCCAAGCATAGCAGGGGACAAAGCAACTTCTCTGAAATATGATGAGCGATACGGATTTGCGGTTTAGCTGCAAGTGTGTCTTTTTAGCAAGGCCAAAACTGTACAAAATGTAAAATATGAAAAGCTAGGTAAAGGAAAAATGCCACGTGTAATATGCTAGTTACTCAAAGTGCAATCCCAGTGGGAGTGCCACACTGTGACTCTTCTCTGCATTCATATGAAGGACAGGTCCTCGTCGTTTAAGTCGCTCTTGCACACATTTTAGCTGAAACTTTATGTAACAAGCATTTGAATAATTCATTAAGGTATTTTTATCTCCTTCATTCAAAAGTACTGTATGTAATACTTTTTTTTTTTGTTTTTTTTTTTTTTTTTTTTTTTTTTAAACATGTACAGATTAAAAAAAAATATTTTGGAACAGCAAAGTTTTGGTCAACCTAAAACCACAGAGTTCGGTCAGTAAGAGAAGTTGCTGCAGACCTCCAAACTTTTATCCTTCAGATCAGCTCTGGAAGTGTATAGAAATATTTACTGAACATGTATGAAAGAAAACCTTCGACCACCGTGTGGGATACAAACCGTAAGAGTGATGCTTGACTCTGGAGAGTGGTGGAGATGTAGTATGTAGAGATGAATCATGTCTTTTCTTCTGGCAAAACAGTGGATGAGTCTGGGTTTGAAACATCTAAGAGAACAGACTCCTGACCTCACTGTGTCAAGCTTACCTATTGGTGTTTTTGTGGTTTTTCAGGAATCTCTTTAGTCTTATTAAAATGAACTCAAGTCTTTCGGATACTTCATCAGAAGTGTCGAAATCGGCTTTCGTTGACTTAGTTGCGTGATGAAAATTGTCATCCCGTTGGGAGGCGTCGCCCTCCGCTTCCTGACGCCAGGCTCGTGTTGAACGGTTTCGATAGAGGTCTGTGCAAAGCGTTGTGTGCTTTGTCACAAGTTTGTGGACATGTATGTTTCGCTTCAACCAGTCCGCGTCCACTAACCGGTTTTTAGTTTCCGCAGCTGATGTGAATACTCGTAACGAGCACTTTTATCGGATGGGGTGACGAATGTATGTACATTTGTACTATTGTTTACAAAATGCCTACCAAGATTGTCTACTGGCATCTTTCATGCTCGGTCAGCATTATCTCCATGCCATGGACTATGCCGCCATGTTTTCATCTACCAGTGACGAAAACATGGCGGCAGGATACGTCCCCAGGCTAAAGCGAGGTGTGTGAGAATACGAACTTCCTGCAATCACGTGGCTGTTTGGCTTTGGGTTAAGTTTGGGAGAGGCAGACCAATACATTAAATAATGAAATGAGTGCTGCAGCACATTGATACACACACTAAATTCATAAATGTTTATGAATAAAAACGGCTGGGAACATAAGACTGACCAGGAGAGACAAGACTCTATAAATACGGTTAGTCTATAGTTGTCCGGGATCCAATTCTTGACCTTTGGACCTTTGTGTCATGTCTTCTCTTCTTCTCTCAATGTCCATTTCCTGCCTGATTACTTCTGCTGCAGGTCACTAGTGCCATAAAATCTTAAACCAAAGTGTTAATCGGTCACAATCACCATCATTCTTTGGAAAAACCAAAAAGAAGTTTCAAATCCTGACCTTTGAGATTCAGCAAGGGTAAAACAAAAAAAAAATCTATGCTTTCAAACTCAAAGTGAGAAAACAGACAGCTCTCAAGTGTGTTTGTAGATCAATATGAAATTGAACTTTGAGCTACTCGTGAGTCAGAGCGTAAGGATGAAGAGGTGACTGTGGTGCCCAGAATCCTCCTCCCTGTGTTTCCCTCTGAATTTTTTTAAGCAGAAGAAAGATCTGCAAAATTGCTTTCTTGTGTTGTGCTTTTCCTCCAGCATTTTTATCCCCCCCAAAACAGCCACTAAACTGGTTATTAGTTGACTGCAAACAGTTGCAGCCCTAACCTGCAGCTGACATCTCAGCAGGCAGAGTCAGCACTCTGCCCGCGGTCCAACCTCTTCTAAAACGCCCTGCGATGCTATGATCCCATCTTCAGAAAGCCTGTTGAATTAATAACAGCACCTAGAATGGAGCTGGAAGTTGGTGGGATGTCAACAAAAAAAAAAACAAACAAAAAAAAACACCTCTTTTCCTGCTCCTCTCAAGGGCACAAGTCATCCTGCACTAATATAGCAGGATTGTTTTATTTGTACTCGTTCAACCTTAGCTGCACCTCTGCTGTGTTTGACTTTGTCAACTTTTGTGCTTCTCTTAATGGCAAATTGACACTTGCGGTGTAAAAAAAGATTTTCCACCATTGGCTGAAATGAAATGTTTTAATAGGAAATAATTTCTTTTTGTGTGCTAATGCGAAGAAACAAGAACTGATGACAAATATGGCTGCGACGTTTACTGATGCATAGTTAGATACTTTTAATGCATCCCGTCTTTGGATGCACACATCGCTGGTTCAACATGACACTCACTCCTCAGGCTAACTGTGAGCCTGTCATGCATGCTTTTTTTTATGGGAGGAAGGAAGACACCTAATAAAATCCCATAGATGGCAAAAATATATGCAGAGGTTAGAAGCACAGATCATTATGCTGTGATGCAAAGAAGAAAAAAAGTCTTGGAAATTATTTCTGCATGAAAACAATTTTCAAATTAAAAATATAGTTATGCTGATTTATGCCAACCTTTATAGACAGCACTCACAACAAGAGGCATCATCTCTACATGATAACACTTTTAGAGGTATAGCGAAGTGAAATTAAAAATAAATGACAACAAACAGGTTCACAGTGGAGCTCATTCAGATGAAGAAGGTTAATTTTTTTGTAATTGGAAACTTCACTAAAGTCCTCAGAGGAGCTCTCCCTCTAAAACTATTTAGTACTGGGCCAATCACCCAACACGATACCCATAAGCTTGGCAGCTCTGGCATCCCGTACTTCATTGTCAACTGACGACCTGCCAAGACTTCAACTAAGATAATAATCAAACAGGCTTTTTCATGAGCTTCTAATATTTAGGAAATATATCTTCAGGGTTTTAGAAGTGAGGCCCTTCAGCTTCCCATCCTGCACAGAAAAAAATAAAATAAAAAAACCTGGGAAGAAATGGGAGCCCCCGGAAAAAAACCAAGCTGGAATTGAGAGAAGCTTTCAGCTCAGCAGGCCGGCTCCTGCTCTCTGGACATTCATGAACCATAATCATTAATAAAAATGAGTGTCCATATGAGATTTTAACTGAAAACAAAATGACCTAGAGAACAAATTTTAATAAAGCTGTGATGTAAAGGTTTGTAAAATACTGTTGGCAGGAGCTACGGTTGCATTTTTAATTGAAGATATTTCAACATGGCACAAATCCATTTTTTATTTTCAAACTAGTCATTAACTGTCAAAACAATCTCAGTGTGTTCAAAGTTGGAATAAAGAGAAACAGCGGCACCTACTGCAGGCAACATTTACAAACCATTTATAAATCTGTTACCCCTGCTACAAAACATATAAGATTCTTTAAGTTAATTTTGCGGAAATATCATTATATTGAAAGTTTTTTAAAAATGCTAAAAAAAAATAAAAAAAAAACGTGTCATACCGCAGTCGTTTATTGAAGAATAAGGGGATTTTCAGCATTCAAGGAGACACTTGATAGAAACTGACCATCTTCATCTTGGCCCAAAGTTGTTCATACTTTGGCAGATTTGAGTTTAAAGTAATCTTAACCTTACCAACATTTTTCTGCTGACTGAAAGTAGCGTCGGCAGACCTGGCCAGAACCCCAACTTTAACCTGACAGAGAATCTATGGAGAGAGTTACAGATCAGTGTGACGGCAGCCTCAGAAATCTGGAACTCGTCAGCAGAGACAAAATAATGTTTTGTCTCTGGTGTTTCCAAACTCTGGTGGAAACATGCAAAAAGCTTCACACACGCTGAAAGACGCCAACACAAAAATATAAATCTACCAAAGGTATGAATAATTAACAAATTTGCAAAATGACAATGTGATGTCACTAGAAACTACACCTTTACCTATGGGATGCAAACAAGTGAGCGCTGCAGGACGTCCCTGGTCAAACAGCACCTGTCTTTAGTTTGGAAACGAATCATTTCTCATCCCTGTTTGATACAGAAGCTATTTTCGTACATCCTTGGACGGTTCATCGTCTCTCATCATTGCAAGTTAAATAAATAAATAAATAAATCCTCCAAACAGATAAAATTACCTTCCATTTAAAGAGCTCAGACTTGTTGAGAGTCTGTCCACAAACCTCACCTCCTCCACCGCACGGCGTACAATGATAAGGCGCCTGCACAAGGACGCCTCCCAAAGGTAATTTTGTGATTATTCGCTTCCCTTATCAGGTAAACAGGTGTGCAGCTGGTCTGCGGTTTGTAAATGTGCGGTGCCGCTGCAGGAACAGCCATTTGCATGCGGCATGTGGTAGACGGCGGTCTGCGGGCCGACTGAGCCGTCATGCAGTGCTGATGGACGTACAGTAAGGTAGCCGGACACCCACAACAAGGAAAAATCCTGCCCAGCCAGAGTCCATGCAAATGGGGCCTCACCACTTACCTGAGGTCAGAAATTAGATGCAAATTAGATGATTTAATATAAATCCTGGCGAGGGAATTTCTGACTCAAAGGGCTTCACCTTTGACAGGAGAATGCTTCACTTGCAGATAAAACTACTAATTTAAAAACTTTTAAAGTTAAAAGAAGTGGGAAATAATTCATCTGGAGCTTCATTTCAGGTAAATTTTAATTTTTTTTTTTTACAAACATTCATTGCCTTATTTACGCTTAATTTGCACGTTACCGTCTAAATTTCCGATTAAACCGTAATGGAAGACTTTATCTAAACCTATTTGGGTCTGTTTTCTGTATATCAAAAGCCAAAGATGAGGCTTTTGTCCCGAGGCGCCCTCTCTGACAGTGACTGTGGCCAATTTTATTCTGTCACACCAGTGATGAATCATCTGGTTTGAAGTGTGTGAACCTAATTTTTTTTTTTTTTTTTTTGCCTCCTTGTCATCTCTCTGAATGCAGCGAAATCGAGCCGCCGCAGAGTCCTCCCATCCCCCCAAACCCAACAAAGACGCCTGACACGGCGTTATTGAATTACTCTCAGTAGTTTACGGCTCCGATGCGTTCGGTGCCGAGAGTCCCGATATGTTCGAAATGAGCAAATTGGCCCTGTGGGTGCTGACGGGCCTGACGGCCGTCGCCACCGTCTTCTTTAACGTCTACATCTTTCTGATGACTCTGTGGAACCAGACGGGGAAGAAGGACAGGAGTCCCAGCGAAATCATCATTATGGCTCTGGCGGCGGCCGACGTCACCTACCAGCTGATGTGCTACGCCTGGATGACCATGAACGAGGTGGACAGTGACTGCCACATCGTGAAGATGTTCTACACCGTCCTGCTGGTGATCATCTCCAGCCTCAAGTTCACCATCATCTGGGACACGAGCTTCCTCACGTTCTACTACAGCACCAAGCTGGTCAGCACGCCCAACCACTGCTACACCCAGATCCAAGCCGCCATCCTCAAGCACGCCACCCTGGCAGTTTTTGTCATCCCGCTGCTCGGCCTGGCCACCTGCATGCCGATCCTGGTGGTGTTCCACATGGACAACCACACCCAAGAGGCCACCAGCAAGATGGACTGCGGACTTCTGCTGCCGGAGTCCACCGCCGGTCGGGTGTACGATGTGATCTTCCTGTTCCTCTCGGACGTGCTGCCCGGGATGGTCATGCTGAAGTGCTGCATCTCGATCTCCGTCCACCTGGTCATCCACCTGCGCCACATGAAGGCCAGCACCAACGGCGCCCACCCGCCGAAGCTCGACTCGGAGATGCGGGTGGTCCAGATGTCCTTGGCCCTGGTGGGGAACTTCCTGATCTTCCTCGCCGTCGACCTGTACGTCAACTACGACGTTGTGGTGAAACACAAGAACTCCCTGGCTGTCACACTCTTCATCACGTCCGTCTACGCGACCGTCACGGCCATGCTCCTCATCTACGGCAAGAAGACTCTGTGGAAGACGATGATACACGACATCAACACCTGCCTGGACGCGTATCCGTGTTTGTCCTGCCTGAAGCTGCCCAAGCAAAAAGCTCCACCCGGCAGTCCTCCAAAGGTTAAAAAATGAAAATGCAGATGTTACGCCACCTGTCTGTCACATTACAAAGTAGCGAATAACTACAATTGTAGATAGCAAAAAAAAGACAAATTAATTTGGTAAACTCTGAAATTTGCTAAAAAAAAAAAAAAGTTGAAAATTTGTTAACTCAGAAATTTTGAGACTAATCTCAGAAATTTTCTAGAAAAAAAAATGGACAATTTTAGACTTTTCAAACTCAGAAATTTCCATTATTATTTTTTCTAAAAAAAAAATGATATTAATCTCAAACTTTGAGTTTTTTCTAGCAATGCTTTAACTTTTCAATTCTGAAATGGTCACATTTGTAGGTTAATCTCAAAATTTATTTTTTTTCTTAGCAAATTTTATACCTTTAAACTTAGAAATGTTCTTGTTTTTTCTAAAAAACGTTTGAGATTAATCTTTTTTTCTAGCTACAATGAGTTCACTGTCGTGCATGACTGTAAATCAGAAGGCTATGGTAAGAAAACTGTAAAGGTTTGGAAAGCGTTTCTGTTCTGACTTTAATCCCCTCAAATAAAATCCAGTTCAACCAAGCTGTCTGTAGGATATATTTTGTAGATAATCCATCTCCACAGCAACTCTATAAGGGTCTTAGAAGAACATCAGTCAGTTCTGCCCAAAATTTTAACAAAGGTCAAAAATCCACATTATGAACAAACATCATCATGAAAACCAAGGAGAAGCAGAAGACACTGCAACTGTGTGGAAGAAGGTGCTCTAGTCATTTGAAAACCATTTTGTAATTAATTTTTGGCCTACATGAAAAAAAAACCCACTATATATGGTTGAAAACTAATGTTGAAAATGACTGTGATGGTCAGAGTTAATGAACTCCATAAATCTAACCAAATGTTTACCTGCTGGTACAGTGGGTGAATAAACTTTTGTTGATTTCGATGTATAAAATATGTTAAAAAGAAAAAAAAACACGCATCATTTTAATCCCACGCTAAAAATAAATAAATAAATAAAAAAACATTTCTTTGTGTTGTTCAAGTTCGCGGTCGTATAATGTCACGAAATGTGGAAAATGTCAAGCTCCATGAAAGGCAGAGCAGCTTTGTGCTGAAGGTCTTTTCTCCTAACTGCTTCAGTAATGACTGATGTCCTGCTGCGCCGCAGGTTCCCGAGTGAGACAAATAGAGAGAGAGAGAGAGAGAGAGAGAGAGAGGGAGAGATTCAGTTTGTTTGCTTGTTAGGGAAGGAACAAACGCCGACCTTTTTTCTTCTTCTTTTGAGCAGACAGGTAACAGCGCCACGCCACGCCACGCAAATCACAACCTTATCTACCTCGGCGCGATAAGTGTTAATATTTCAGTGGGACAAATAATAGGCAGGCCCGGGAAGTCTATCTGCGAGCATGGTTGGCTGGACATGATGCAAGTCGGTGCCCATCTTAAACGTTAAAAAATAGATGTGGCCGCGGTGAGAGCACAGAGCATATTAATAAAACAAGACCGCACACACAACCTGATTTTTTTCCTTCTTCTTCTTCCAGGACAGAGTGTTTTCCTCAGCCAGGTCCCCTCTACCTCAGTGGGACCGCTTGTAGCTGGAAGTGTTCCAGGCCGAACACCCTCCGAGTGAGAAAACAGAAAAATTGATGAAGAAAAGCAGGTCCTCCTCCTCCTCTGCGTGTTGATTGGCTGTCCTTAAGACTGCGCGTGGCTCCAGTTGACAGGTGTGACTGTGTAGCTTTAAATATGTGTGTGTGTGTGTGTGTGTGTGTGTGTGTGGGGGGGGGGGGGGGGGGGGGGGGGGGGGGTAGGGGGGAAAAAGCCATCCACCGCCCCAAA